GTAATGTATGACATGTAATTTGAAGACAGTGATCAGTTGAACTCTTAAAAAATATGCAACAGATCATTTATTATCAGTATAAAAACTACGCTACATACTTGTATTTTTTTTAAATTGAGGTAAAATTCACATAACAAAACTACTCAATAACCATTTTAAGGTATACAATTCAGTGGCATTTAGTACATTCACTATGCTCTGTAACCATCATCCTATTTATTCTAAAATATGTTCAACACTTCAAAAATAATCCCTATGTACATTAGTGGGCACTACCTATTGTCCACCTTGCCTCCTCCTCCCTGTACCATCTCTCCTACAGAGACCTGCTTTCTGTAACATGGAGTTACTTATCCAGGATTCTTGAATGTTTCAATTTTAATAAATCCAATTTTCTTTTGACAAAAAATATTTCATAAGATAGAGGTTAAGTTTATTTTCATCCTCCCACAAACATTATACCATCTGATTATTAACCCAGGTGAACAATGGTCTTAATCTCTCTGTAATTTATTCAATCCCTCCTATTAAATTAAAAGCAGTAACCTCTTTTATCAGAAAGCAGTTTCTCTAATAAAATATTAGAAAAAGCATTATGATTCAAATTAAATTATACAATGGTCACTTCAATCTATACTGTTGTGAACAATATTTCAGCTGATTACTATAATTGTATGGCTCTATATTTTATAAAGAGGTATACACTTAAATCAATAATTATACTTTATTTAATGTAGCTGACACAAACCCAATAGGAAGCCAAGTAAAGTATTTTAAAGTTAAACTAGCTCTGCTATTGAAAGAGAGAGTTAATTCCTGATTTAGGAACTAACTATTAAATTGTATAAACAAACATTGCATCTTAGGGATTAAAATACACACACACACCAGAATCGTAGCAAGTTTGCATGGAAAAATCTTAGCAGACCCTCCCTATACAGAAGAGAAAATCCACAAAGTGATTTTCTCGAAGTCTTAGAGCTGACTAGTGGATGAATTTAGATCAGAAGCAGATCTCCTGTCAATCTGTCTCTCAACTCAAAAAGAGATTTTACATGATGGGCAAATTCGAAAACTGCTAGAGATATTTGGCTGGTGCTATATTCTTTCTCCTCTAAAAGACGTTTTTAAAGGTTTTACTGATCTGAAAGAAAAGAGAGAGGGAGAGAGAAGGAGTAAGGAAAGAATCAAGCAAGCAAACCAGGTTGGTGCCAATTTTTTCATATGCAGAATCCAGTCGAATTACAATCCCACTGTTAGCTTGACCTTCCTATATGAACTTGCGACAACAGAAAAAGCTTTGACCCAGTTTGACGTCCTTCTACTCTGAAGAAGATGTTAGGAGGCAACACCGGAATTGACAGGGCCATTAAAACACGACAGGAAGTTTTTAGCAGTCTTCCTTCTCATTGCTGAGTGCAGATCAGTTCTCACTTCACTGGAGCCACAGAAAACTTCTCAACTACGAAATCTGACATTTCTATCCTTGAAAGCAGAGGTGATTCCTTGGTTTATTGTAATAAAATTCTCTTAATGCTTCCTGTTTAAATTTAAGAGCACAGCACATTGTGTCTCTAATTGACTTCCCCTGAGGAGGGATTTATAGAAATAAGTGAAAGTGCTTTGCAAATTTGAAATTCTCATAACTAATGGAAAGCATATGTATAAAAACGGTCTATGAGTGTATTGCTGATGTGAGAAAAGATGAACCTTTGTTAATCATAAGGCATTAGATGCATTTCCTTTAAAATTAGGAGCAAGCGGAGGATGAATGCCTACTAGCATTGCTTCAAATTAGCATTGTACTGAAGGTTCTGGCCAGTGCAATAAAAAAACAGAAAATAATGAAAAGTTGGTACAGAACAAACAAACAAAACAGTCCTTAGTTTGAGATTATAAAACAATATGCTTGGTATAAGATCATGGTATAACTAATGTTTATTTAATTCTATTCAGTGCAGAGTATACAAAATGGAAACGCAAAGGCATATAGCTGAGCATGCAAGGTAACATGCTAGAACATATTCTACAGATAAAAATGGCAGAATAGTGAGATCACACTCAGTGGCATTTAAAATCACATATAAACAGCTTTGGAAAGTGGAATTAAGTGGTGGGGTGAGGGGAGTAATAGGAAAGACTATGGCTCAAATTGGATAGAAAAAGCAAAGGAGGTGGATAAAACAGTTTGAAAATAATATTAAATTCTAATTTTTTATAAGTATACCATCTTCTTTAATAGGTTATCACAAACAATTGAGGATTCTCTGCGTGAGTATTGGACACTAAAACCCAGAAAATCAAGAGGGGAAGGAATTGAGTCAATTCTTCCAATGGCCTATCATGGGAGGGTCTCAACAAATGTTGGCTTCACCAGCATTTTCTAATACATGCATCTCTGCTTATCTCTATTAAAGACTATTGTGAAATTATTTTGAAGTGACATACTTTATCTTACTAGTATTCATAATTTTATATGGCATAAAATATTTATATATTTTATAATAATATTATAAGCCTTATTGCTTATATTTACTATCTTGAATTTTAAAAGCTTTCTAATCTTATTATTTTCTTTTGTCTGATTTCAACATTTTCACAAAATTTAGTAAAATCTATTTGAAAATAATGACTTCTTATATTTACATTTTTATACTATTCTCCATTCCTAAAGAGCTATTTAACTGCCTAGTCATGTTTTGAAATGTACAGTGATGATTTAATGATTCATGATGGCATCAGCAATTCCAAAGCAAGGAATACACAGTATTTAAATGTGCAAAGTATTTAACTTGTTTCTTTGTCTTTAGTACCGTTTCAATTATTTCTCCTCCTAGTATTATGTAATGAGGCAAATAATGTTTTTATAACAATAGAGCAAAATTATGTTATAGAAGCCACAGGCACTTAGTTTTAGTTGTATGAACAAAATGCCTTGTATCAATTAGAGAGAAGAGGAAGGCTGTCACTGATTGTTGAAATGATATTATATGTAGGGGAGGAAAATGCTCCATATGCCACAAGCCAGAATTTCCATAGCTTGTAGAAAGTCTCTTTTCAAAACACCTACTCTTCACTTATCAAATACCTCATTACCCAACATTTTGCATCTATGGCAACTTTGGAAATATTTTCAGAGTGTGCCTTCGGTGATCTAGCCCTATAAGGGGCTGCAGTTAGGCCGAGGGCACCCTCTGTGGGCCATCCCCAGTGATCCACTGGTGGGCTGGTGAGACACCTTCTCCTATTTGCCCACGATGTCTCTCTCTGGTGAAGGAGCGTGTGAGGAAACGGTGAGATGCTGCGGAAGGTATTACTGGAGAGGCTCACAGGAACCGCAGAGGTCAGTAAAAGAGAGGGAAGGAGCTGCATGAGGCTATGAGGTTGGAACAGTGGAGGACAAACAGGGTGTCTGCACAGGGTGGGTGCTGGGAGGCAGCAGGTAAAGGGCAGCACCCAACTACCATCACCACCACTATTCAACTCAGTGGGCTCCTCAGTGATGGGAAATTGTGGAAGGGTAAGGGGGGGCCGCCACCGCATGCTCATCTTGAGACATGCGGTGGTACCAAAGGGAGGCGAGTGGTCAGCTAGGGGAACACTGGCATGAAAACAGAGCTTGGTCCCCGACTTTTGAATAATGCTTATTTTGCATAACAACCATGTCTTTGGACTCTAGTCATATCAATTAAGTGAGAAGTGAGCATAATTATTTCTGCCTTTTATAAGCATGTAATGCCTATTGTGTCTATTTTTCTCCATGTCATCTAATAGTTTAGGTACTTTTCAGACTAGATGAAATATTACTTTCCAGAGATCAGTGTGCTCTAAAATTTGGAGGCACGTATGTTTTTCTAGCTCTAAATGATGCATCCATATGAAATTATATTTCTGATCAGTGTGTATTTTTACTCCTCTAAAATGACTAGACAAGAGGAAAAAGACGGGAGTGGGCAGAGGGCAAAACCACTAACATGTAAGAAGGACTTTAATGAAAGCAGTGCCATTTGCAGAATTAAACATCAACCCTCCCTGATGACACTATGTAGGCGAGTGCTTTCATGAGTAACTTAAAATATATATTAAAGGAAATAGATATGTGGGTATACTTCTACCTGCCTACTGGCTAATCTGTGCTATTCACTAAGAAGGCTGTTTGATTATTCAGAAACTGATTACCTTGCTTGCAAATTAGCCATGGGTTTTGCCTTTCTTCACTTTATTACCAGATTCTTGTGTAGTTTACTGTTTGTTAAAAATCCATACTAGAATGGCTGGTAAGGACAATGTGTGAATCTACCTACCACTTCCAGAAAGGATCTGAAGTTCAGTGGTAAAATTTTGTTTAACAAACCTTTGGCCTCAGTTAGCACAGGCAATATGAGCATGGATTTACAGTACATAATGATTTAAAAATAATTCTGTATCTCCTTTAGAAGCTTGAGAAATTAATAACTTTAAGGCTATTCTTCATAGCCAATGACAAAAACTTTTTATTTTCAAAGAAGTACAGGGAAACAAACGGCTTTCTTCAAAGCCTGCTAATAATGAGGGAGAAGAAAGAATTCAAATTGAGAAATAAAAATGCACACAGATGTACGATGTGCTGTAAGTCAGGGTAAAACAGCAATATCAGAGCACTTGTCAGATTTTAAAAATGGGCAGCAGAATGGATCTTGCTTTTTCTCTCACTTACTGTCAAAAAACAACAAAGATGGCAAGACATCATATGGTCAAAAGGGCAGAGTCAGCCTGAGCCTTCTCAGCAGTACCCTGAGAAAACCTTCTGTTCCTGACTGCAGGACCCCAAGCTGTGGGCACACTGCTTCTTCCCTCCGGAAAGGTATGGGACACACAACCTAACGATCACAATTCAGCTCAGTCTTGAGGACCTAGTAATGCAAGTATAAGGCAAAGAATATGGCACAGTAAAAATAAAAATCAAGACAGAGCAAAGCTAAATATCCCAGAGAGGATTCAGAGGAGGTGAAGAGCCCTACCTTGCAGATCTTGTAGAGAGATTCCTGACCATCTCCTCCAGTATCTTTAAAGTATTCATGTGCAGGAAATGTGCGATGAATATCTCGAGTAATAACACTCTCCTGAGCGGAGTCCTAAAAAGGAAATCAAAGCATGATCATTAATTTCAAAAATTTTAATGATAAAAATAGCATACATAAATGGTCAAAATTTTCAAACAATGTAAAACTAGTATATCTTTCCCTCAAAAAAAAAAATCGCCTTTCTGTCCCAGATCTAAAGTCCCATTCTCCAAAGATAAGTATTTCCAATAGTTTCTTTCGTATCTTTTCATTCATCTCTAGGTTGTGTGTGGGTGTGTAAATTGGTGAGGGGAAGGAGAGGAGGAAAATAGCAAAAGAGGGAAGCTGTATATACACATCTCTATTCTTGGCCTTTAGAAGCACAAATACCCATAAAAGCAAATTCTATCTGCTCTTTCATTCAGTAAGGTAGCTTAAGACATGTTCTTATCAATTCATAGACACGTATTTCATTCTTTTCAATGGCAGCTAAGAAGAATGAGGTATACTTGGATATGGGCATATCTTACCGTATGTACTCAAATATAAGCAGACCTGAATATCAGCCAAGGCACCTACTTTTACCACAAAAACTGCATAAAAAACATGCTGAAAAACTTGGCTTATACACGAGTATATATGGTAATTTATTTAACATTCTCCTTTTACTGACCATATAGTTTTTGAGTCTCCTTTGTTGCTACCACCATTACAAACAGTACCACAGGAATATTCTAAAATATATGTCTTGTAGATACGTAAGCATAGATTCTCTGAGGTAACACTGCTAAGTTAAAGGTGATATATGTTTAAAATTTTGTATAACAGCCGTTTCCCTCCAGAATTGTATCCACAAACATTCTCAATAATGCTAGACTGTATTTCTCTACAACGTCCCAATATTACACATATGTAGCATTTTAACCTACGACAACCTAAAGAGTGAAAACGTAAAGAGTAATTTAAACAGTAAAAATAACAAACTCTCCCCCCTGGCAGGTCAATTACCTATTCACTCACTCCACTAAATAGAAGGCCACAAGTCTCACTGCTATTGAGTTGATGCCGACTCATAGACTAGAGGACGGAGTAGAATTGCCCCAAGAATTTCCAAGCATGTACCTGTTTATAGGAGTAGAAAGCCCTGTCTTTCTGTCATGGTGCAGCTGGTGGTGTCAAACTGCTGGCCTTTAGGATGGACGCCCAACACATAACTACTGTGCCCCCAGGACTGAATAAAAAGGCCTAAGTGCTACTATATTAAGATTTCATATCCACAAGATCTCATTTTTCTCATATAGCTTAAAGTGGAGTACAATTCTAAGCATTATTAGAAAAAATTAACTAGTCATTTGATTTGATTTCAATCCTGGAACTGATTGTTTTATTTGTTTAAATGTCAAGAAAATAGGATTGAACTCCATCTAGCAATTCTGATGATGAAAATATTTTGTACAATTCAAAGAAGCATCAAAGACTACTAATTGCAAATTAAAAGCATTGTTTAATGTCTTCCTTCCCAAAAAGATTTAAACAAGTCCCTTGAGTCTCAAATTGAGAAAGAAAAAAAATGTTTAATGTATATGAGTTACTTTGAAAAGTGCTATATCTCATTCTCTTTCAGGCTGAGACACAAACAGGCAGAAGGGGCAGTGATTAGCTCTAAATTAAGCCAGGGTCTTTTCCTGCTGCCTTTTTCATTTTAGATGATGCTTCACGCTGGGTGGTAGTTATACCTTATGAAGATATAGACAGAAAGGAAACGAACGGAAAAGCTACACATTTGTGAGGAAACATGGAAGACGGCACTCAGTCTGAAGGAAAGTCTGCTCAATTAAAGGAATGCTGGTGACACTTGGCTGCTCCCTCAAAGATCAGCAGTCTGAGCCCACTCACTGTGTGGGGGGAAAAATGTGATGACCTGCTTCCATGAGGCTTTATAGCCCTGGGAACATTACTGGCACCTCTACCCTGTCCCACAAGATCCCTGTGAGTGAGTTAGAACGGACTCAATGGCAAGAAGGCTGGTTTTGAAAGCAATGGAATGCTGAAGCTCAATTAAACTAGGATGTTTTTAAAAATTATAATTTAAATAAAAGGAAAAATAAGAAGTTTATATGTTTCAAAGTAAAGTAATACAAGTTCTGATGATAAAGAGATTGTTGTTGACAGGTGAGAGTATAGAACAGACTAAGTATAAAGGTAATGTATAAAAATATGATGAAATGCTCATTTGATGTGATATGGTATAGAGTTCAAGTATGGGACTTGGATAGATCTATGTCTTTATTGCTCAGGCTTTCTCCAATAGAAAGTTTCTTTCCATGCAGTAAGTTTCCAATTAGAAATCATTTGAGAAGGTGACCAATGAAAATGTTACTATTGTTGCTGAACTACTTCAGGAATAAACACGGCCTAGTGGCTCATAGGATAGTCAATTTTGTACTTTTTACGACATTGAAAGAAGGAAAGTATTGGGCGGTATGAGGGGAGTCTCAAAAAGTTTACCAAAAAACCTAATTATCTTTTAATTAAATTTTTCCATAAACTTTTTGAAGCCCACTGCAAGGTCAGCAGTTTGAAACCACCAGCTACTCCACAGGAGAAAAATGGGGCTTTCTACTCCCCTAAAGAGTTACAGTCTCAGAAACCCACAGGGGCAGTTCTACTCTGTCCTAAGGGGTTGCTATGAGTCGGCATAGCTTGATGGGCTGTTTCCTTGCTAATGTTATATTCCAATAACTATGTATCTGGCAAGGCACTAGGCTGTTTTGAATTGCATCAATAGGTTGATTCAGAGAAAGGGAAACAGATAAAAATTTTCTAGAAAGTCATTTTGTTTAATGATCCCTGGTGCTTCAATGGTTAAAGAATTCAGCTCCAAACTGAAAGTCAGTGGTTCTAATCCATCAACCTGATGGGGCAGTTCTACTCTGCTCTGTAGGGTTGCTATGAGTTAGAATTACTTGTTGACAATGGGTATGCTGCTTTGTTTGTTTAAAATAATTTTTCTATACATATTTGAATATATCTTGTTTATTTAACAAAAGTAGGCAACGATCTAATAAAAACAAATCTTAAACCACACTTTAACTAATAAATTTTACCTTTCCATGAGTATTCCCTAGAAGATGCAAATAGTTAATGCCCTTGGCTACTACCTGAGAGCCTGGAGGTTCTAGTCCACCCCAGGGACCTTGAAGAAAGGTCGATGATCTACTTCAGAGCAATCCATGACAGAACCAGGTCTGTGCTGGCACACACGGAGTTATCAGAGCTGGAATTGACGGGATGGGAACTGGCTCTATTTTTGCAGAGTAATTTTAGGTTTACAGAAAATAGAGCTGTCAAATTTATTTTAAAGATTTTCTACATGTTTTCTTTTCCTATGTATGAAAAGGAATTCCAAAAGTTCATGGAAAATTTCCATTACCTTTCAATGCTATTTTTTAAAACCATTTTATTGGGGCTCATACAACTCATCTTAATCCATACATAAATCAATTGTATAAAGCACATTTGTACATCCGTTACCCTCATCATTCTCAAAACATTTGCTCTCCAGGTAAGCCCCTGGCATCAACTCCTCATTTCCCCCCCTCCCTCCCAGCTTCCCCCTCCCTCATGAACTCTTGATAATTTATAATTATTATTATTTTTTCATGTCTTACACTGTCCGACGTCTCCCTTCACCCACTTTTCTGTTGTCCGTCCCCCAGGGAGGAAGTTATATGTAGATCCTTGTAAACAGTTCCTTCTCTCTATCCCACCCTCCCTCCACCCTCCTGGTATTGCCACTCTCACACTGATCCTGAAGGGATCATCCGTCCTGGATTCCCTGTGATTCCAGTTCTTATTTGTACCAGTGTACATCCTCTGGTCTAGCCAGATTTGTAAGGCAGAACTGGGATCATGATAGTGGGGAAGGAGGAAGCATTTAGGAGCTAGAGGAAAGTTGTATGTTTCATTGCCGTTACACTGCACCCTGACTGGCTTGTCTCCTCCCCACAACCCTTCTGTAAGGGGATGTCCAGTTGCCTACAGATGGGCTTTGAGTCTCCACTCAGCACTCCCCCTCATTGACAATGATATGATTTTTTTGTTCTTTAATGCGTGATACCTCATCCCTTCAACATCTCGTGATCACACAGGCTGGTGTGCTTTTTTATGCCATTTTTTGAAGCCCCTCAAATATTCTACACATTCAATTTATGAAAATTTGTACACAGTGGTCTAAAGGAATAACTTCTGAAACTTCACTAAAGTTAGAATAAGCATATTTTAAATATTTGTCTTTCCTAGTTTCAATTTTATAAGACAACGCTAATTTGCTACTCTGTTCACTGACTGTATTGTAAGTGAAGGTCAAGAGATTCAATAGTCTCAAAAACAGACTAACAGGAATTAAGATATATACTGGACTAGTGAAAATAAAGAGAAAATAATCATGCTTTTGAAGTGACAGCTAGGCCACGTCTCAATTACCTATAACCACTGAAATTAAGAACAGTACATATTCCAGGAATTCAACATCTTTCTCATTTATTTTATATATGTGTGTATGTACATATGAGGGGCTTCAAAATGTTTGTGGAAAATTGGATTTTCCCATGAAGTTTTTTGAGCTACCTTGTGTGTATGTGTGTGTATCTGTCTGTCTTGTCTGTAGGGGTACCACTACATCTAAAATTTTATAAAAGAAAGAAAAACAACATTCCTCTTGATAAGCTCACTCTCACTGTAGTTGTCAATTTTTACAAGCAGTAACATTAACCAGGAAGAACGCCTCAAAAGAAAAAAAGAGGGCAAATATCTGAATAATTATTCACCAACTGAATGATCTGGAGTTCAAGGGCTTAAGAGATTCTTTTGTTTTTATTTTTATTTCTGTGTGGTTAAGAATATTTTATAGCACAGCAGGACTGATACAAGATCATTTTGGGAGGTTGCTATAAACAGAAACAGTCCTGCCAAGTATCTTCAAAAAAGAAAAGGCAGTAAAAGTCACTCCTTCATGGACAGCAACTTACAGCTCAAGTTAACCACTTGACCCAGAGTTTGTATCACCAGAA